AAAAAAAAAAAAAAAAGCCAGGCAGGCAGGGCACTGTGGCTTATGCCTGTAATCCCAGCACTTAGGAGGCCAATGTGGATGGGTCGCCTGAGGTCAGGAGTTTGAGACTAGCCTGGCAAACATGGTGAAACTTCATCTCTACTGAAAATACAAAAATTAGCTGGGTGTGGTGGTAGGTGCCTGTAATCCCAGGTATTTGAGATGCTGAGGCAGGAGAGTCATTGCTTGAACTTGGGAGATGGAGGTTACAGTGAGCCAAGATCATGCCATTACACTTCAGCCTGGGTGACAAGAGCAAAACTTGGTCTCAAAAAAAAATTAGCCAGGCATTCATGATGCATGCCTGTAGTCCCAGCTACTAGGGAGGCTGAGGCAGGAGAATCACTTGAACTCGGGAGGCAGAGGTTGCAGTGAGCTGAGATTGCACCACTGTACTCCAGCCTGGGCCACTGAGTGAGACTCCATCTCAAAAAAAAAAAAGTTTTAGAACTGTAATGTTTTATTTTTCCAAGGGAAAATTTGCCCAAAGTGGGTACTATAAAAACTCCTATGGCCGGCGGTGGTTGCAGTGAGCCTACATCGCGCTACTGCATGCCAGCCTGGGTGACAAGAGCAAAACTCTATCTCAAAAAAAACTCCTATGGTCTTTCTGTTTTTGCAGTGCAAACCAAAAATACTATTCCTTTTCCTTTCTTTTGGTATTAACCTTTTAAGACCATATAAGACCATATTTTAGTAAATTATGAGTTATTTACATATTTTTCTTTATGCGTCATGCTTCAGTAGGACTACTGATTTTTTGGGGAGTTTTTTATTTGTTTGTTTTTTGAGATGGAGTTTTGCTTTTGTTACCCAGTCTGAAGCGCAATGGCACGATCTCGGCTCACTGCAACCTTCACCTCCTGCGTTCAAGTGATTCTCCTGCCTCAGCCTCCTGAGCAGCTGGGATTACAGGCATATGCCACCATGCCCGACTAAGTGTTTTCAGTAGAGACGGGGTTTCTCCATGTTGGTCAGGCTGGTCTCAAACTCCCGACCTCAGGTGATCTGCCAGCCTTGGCTTTCCAAAGTTGTGGGGATTATAGGTCTGAGCCACCACATCTGACCGGACTATTGATATTTTTGTTCATCAATTTCATTGATGTATAATTACTTTAATAGAATTTTGAATTCTGACAAATATGTATGTCTTTATAACCAGCACCCTGATCAAGATTTCTGTAATTCTCAAAATATATATCCCATAAATATATATACCTACTGTGTACCCACAAAAGTAAAAAAATTAAAAAAAGATTTCTGTAACTTTGCCCCCTTTTGCAGCTACCTCCCACCTATAGCCTTAGGCAACCATGTATTTGCTTTCTCTGACTACAGAGGACATTACTCTCTTTAGCAAACTTTTCTTATAAAGGGCCAGATGGAATCATTTCATGTATACTCTTGTGTCAGGCTTCTCTTGCTCAGTATAATGCATTTCAGTTTATCTTCAGTTGTGTGTGTTGTCAGTAGTTCATCCCTTTTATTATACTAAATATTTCAGATAACTGGAATCATACCATAGTTGTCCTTTTGTGACTGCCATCTTTCACTTAGCATGATGTTTTCAAGGTTCATCCATGTTACAGCATGTGTCAGTGCTTCATCCCTTTTTGTGGTTGAATTATATCCCATTGGTATAATTTGGTTTATTCATCTATCAGTTAATGGACATTTGGGTTGTTTCTACATTTTGACTGTTATGAATAATGCTGCAAAAAACGTGTACATGTTTTTATATAACGTGTTTTCTGTTTTCTTGAGTGTATTTTATATGCATATATATATATATATATATATATATATATATACACACACACACCTAAAAATGGAAATGGTGGGTCATATGGTAATTCTGTGTGTAGCTTTTGAGGAACTGCCAAGTTTTTTCTCACAAGGCTATACCCTTTTATATTCCCACCAGCGATGTACGAGGGCTCCAGTTTCTCAGCATCTCACCAAACACTTGTTATAACCATGCCAGTGGGGTGCAAAAGGACTATTGCTTTTTGCTAATGTTTATGAATAAAAGATATAGTTCAGTATTGATAGAATATTTCCACAGAATTGGTGGGGAAATCAGTGGATTTCAATATCAGTTTATATGTTCTAGGAGGATGGACTCAGACAAGTGCTGGAGGAGATGAAAGCTTTGTATGAACAAAACCAGTCTGATGTGTAAGTTTCATAAGATTGACATTCTAAAACAATTTAATGATTAAGATGTTGAAATCAGATAACCTTGCATTAGTTTTTGGATGTGATTTTTAAAAATTATCTGCTCTAGCTGTACAAATTAGCAAAAGTCTGAAGGGATTTGTTGTATGGCCAATAGGATCTGAAAGAAATTAGAGTAGACCTGAAATAAATGACATACCTTAAAATAAAAAGTAAAAACAGGCCAGACATGGTGGCTCATGGCTATAAATCCCAGTGCTTTGGGAGGCCAAGGCAAAAGGATCACTTGAAGCCAGGAGTTTGAGACCAGCCTAGACATATAGCAGGACCTGTCTCTATTAAAAAAAAAAAATTATCCATGTGGGATGGCACACATCTGCATTCTCAGCTATTCAGCAGGCTAAGGTGGCAGGCTTGCTTGAGTGCAGGGGTTCGAGGTTGCCATGAACCGTGATCGTGCTACTGCGCCCTAGCCTAGGTGACAGAATGAGATCTCACCTCTAAAAATAATGAAAACAAAAACCTAAAAAGTGAAATACATGGTTCCCATTGTTTATATTTTTATCAATAGATGCCTTAGTGAGTTTATTAAAGGGAGAATAGGCAGTTTATAAATGTATATAAATAGGAGCAGCAGTGATTTCAGATAGTTTGAATGGAGCTCACTGAGAAGTAGGGCTACCGTGGCTGGGCGCAGTGGCTTATGACTGTAATCCCAGCACTTTGGGAGGCTGAGGTGGGTGGATCACCTGATGTTGGGAGTTTGAGACCATGCTGACCAACATGGAGAAACCTCGTCTCTACTGAAAATACAAAATTAGCTAGGCATGGTGGTATATGCCTGTAATCCCAGCTACTTGGGAGGCTGAGGCAGGAGAATTGCTGGAACCTGGGAGGTGGAGGTTGCGGTGAGCTGAGATCACACCATTACACTCCAGCCTGGGCAACAAGAGCGAAACTCTGTCTTAAAAAAAAAAAAAAAAAGAACTAGGGCTACAAAAGACTTCGGTGGAGTGGGTCCAGAGAGGTGACTAGATTTATTGACTCTTCAGAACTTAGCATGGTAGCTGGCACAGTGGAGAATTTGAGCTGTATGGCAAACTTCATTTGTTCCTCTGACACCAAAGGTAGTCAAGTACTGGATCAAAATTGAGGTATGAAGGTCTGAACTTAGAAGTCTGTCTGTGACATGAGGTTTCTTCTTTGGCCTTGTTAGCTACAGTGTTTTTATCAGTTACTTGATTTTAGAAATCAGTGCTATGCTGGTAAGATCTGTGGGGAACATAAAATGATAGGAGCATTTTCCAACTCCTGTGTTTATGGAGCGATACAGAAAAATCTTTACAGGTGGACTTAGAAACTGGAACCTCAACAGATTTGCAGTAAATATAAGGCAAATGTAAAGTCCCGAGCTCAAGTCCCTAAGTCATTCATTGATTTACTCAACAAATATGTACCAAACAAATAAGTATTCATAAATGGCTCTGGTATTTCAGTGGTAAACAACAGTTAAGATGCCTGTCCCTGGCCCTTACCGTCTAGTGTGGAAGACAGATATGAAATATAAATATGCCAAATTGGGATTCATGCTGTGAAGGAAATCAGAAGAGTGCAAGGAGAAAGAAAAATAAATAGAAGGTCTAATTTAAATTGATGAATCAGGGAACTTCACTCCAAGGAGGAGACATTTCAGCTGAGGCCTGCGGGAGAGGCAGGTCTTAGCGAGGCAGTAATTGTGGGCAGAGAGCATTCTAGGTGGAGGGAACAACCTATGCAAAAGGCCCTGAGTCATGGAAGAGAATAGGGTACTTGGGAAACTGACACTTATTCTTTCTTTTTTTTTTTTGAGATGGAGTTTTGCTCTATTGCCCAGGCTGCAGT